TAGATGAAAGTTCACTTCAAAGAAGGCATGATAGACTTTTCAGTCCTCCCAAGGTAACACACTTGGTGGAATTGACAACAATTTTCCATCTGAAATTGAATCAAAATTAGGTTGACGTGTCAAGTAGATTTCCTCTGTTTTTACTTCCCTTACTGTTGAGCTCTTCATATAATCGAGCATGACTCTATAGATCAACTAGATCATTTGAAAAGAGCTAAAGGATCTTAAAAATCAGGAAACTAAATCATTGAGATTTATCAGTCTGGGAAGGGTTATGATGCTGTTCTGGAGCTTTGAGACTCCGGTTAAACACAATAGTTGTTCACAACTATCCAGGGAAGCAGGGTGATGAAAAAATTATAATTCAACTGCAGTCAAACATGGGTTATGCTCACACAGCAGGCAACCCAAATTGGCTTTTTGTTTCCCCATATTTGACCAATATCTCACTTTTTTATTGCTCTCTGAACCATCCAATTTCACCTCCCCAAAAATCTGATTTTTACAGTTTCCATGTGTTACTAAATTGGAAACACTGAACAGTTATGTCACATTTTACACAACCTTTGCGGCATTAATTCTGCCCTCGAAGAAGCCAATGTCACAATAACTGGAGCAATCAGTCCCATTGAAAAATCCTTCAATTTGATTCAATTAAAACGATACTGTAAAGAAAGAAGAGTAGGCCAACACTCCTTCACAGTGATGTGAAAGACTAAGTGCTGGATGGTAGATGTTTCTGCAAAAATAATTACATCCTGTTATTAAACAAAGACTTTCTAAATAATACCTGCTCTCAGAAAACGTCACTTTGCATTTCAAACGCATATTTTTGTCTGATATTGACTGTGTGACCAAAAAATTATAAGAAGAATGAATCCATGAAGTGCAAATACCTTTTGCAGCACTGTCAACTAACGTTAAATTTCTAGATTTCCTTTTTTTTTCGCCTCCCTATTATGATAATTTCACATTAGGATTATTCTTGGCTATTAAAATGTGAAATTGCAGTGTGTCTTCATCAGTTAATTAGCTGTACAATACTCCTAATAGCATGCAAAAGCAATCTTTTAAATGTATCAATGCATTAGACTCCCCAAATTGAGCGGGGAATAGAGTTGCTGCATCACTACACAATCAATCTTAGAGTATTGTCAGGAACACAACCACAAGCAGACCCCACAGACGCTGCCCACTGAAGGCATACATGGGGAAACTGGGTCCAGCCTCAGAGGGATATCCTCCGAGGTGATACATGATGAAAATATTCAAAGCGTTTTGTAAGTAGGTGAGAGTGGAGTTCATCCCCCTCAAGGTTTAGCATAATTCAGTGGTTTTCCCACTCTTTTTCTCAGAAGTAGAACAGCTCAAAGATCTGTTATCCTTTTCCACAGAAATGTGCATTTTAACGTTTCCTCTTGGATATGCTCTGGTTCGAAAAATTGTATTCATAAGATTATGTAAGTTGTATTGCTCTCTCCTCCCCTTCCTAACTGCATCCATCTCACTCCAGCGTTGCCCTTCTCTCCCTCTCTCTCTCTTTTTTTTTCTTTTGCAAACGTAAGAGAGGGAGAGCAAACCACAGAGGAACACGGAGAGCATCAATACTCCTACCACTACTCATTCAATAACAAACTGTACAGCCAAGTAGACTATATTATAGTGGTATCCTCTTCTGTAGAGGTATCATTTGGGATGTCTGGAAACTAATTCTGTACGGTTGCAAAGGAAGTAAGCCTCACCTCAAAGATCTCTCATATTCACCTGGGTCTGAACATGAGACGGTCTGGGCTACTGGCCAAACACAAGGGTGAAAGGAGAAACAACTGTTCCACTGGCAAGGAGAACAAAACAATACCCATCCACCTTTCACTCTCAAGTCATATAGGTTTACATATGGATCTCTGGCTCAGACAAGATGGAGGTATTGCTGGACTTGTGGGTCTAATGAATGAAATATTAGAGCTTATGATGTATTCAAAGCATCCCTGCAAAGTCTGGATGTGTGTGAATTTCTTTTTATGGCTATTTAACAGTGGCCTCTTCTTGTCTTTAATTAGTCCATAAAAAGACTTTGAAAATGAGATTTTTCTAGCCTGTAGGTTCTTTCCAAATTTAGACTAAATAAAGATGTTTAGAGAAAGGCTTTCTTAGAATAAGCCGCTAACATGTAGGTGACTTTTGCACTTTGTCTTTTCTACCACACTTGTTCAGCCTGAAGGCAGTGTTGACCTTTCAATTTCTGTTAAGCTAATTGTTTATTCATGTGCATCGGAGATGGATGGCAGAATACTCCTTACTGCTGTAGATCTGGCCGAAATCAATATTATTTCACACTGAAATAAACAAATCATGAGAGGAGACAAAACAAAAATGCCTTTAGTGGAACTTTAGTGGAATTATTAAATGCAGAGGAACATTTACCTGAATTAAAGTATAGTTTTTTTGCTACATGTAAGTACAATAAATTTTAATGAAGGATTTTTTCAAATTTATTTACGTTAATTGTCAGTTGATAGTACATATTTGTAATCCCAGTTTGAACGTCAAAGTTAAGGATTGAGCTGCATTTTGAAATAACATGTTGACAGCTTATTTCTGATTTTTCTCTTCATGTATATCCTTGAAGGTCATGTTTAGTGAACCAGTCTGTTAATGGCCCATCAGCATAACTTTTAGCTCATTAATTTCTTGCTCCATGACAGATTGGGAACCTGTCCAGCGTTCACCTTGCCTGTTACCTGATGTGACCTCGGACAGGTTCCAGGAACTCTTACGCCTTTAAAGGATAAGTGGGCATAGATAATTGATTGATAGATGAATTCATGAGCCAACTTTGTTGCTTTAACTTTCACACTATTACCTTCACTTTGTATAAATATTTTCCACCAGAGCAGCGCTTTGTCTGTTGTTGCGTAATCTTTTGCTATGTGTATTTTAATGGTCACCCTAGGCAGAAGTCCTAATAATTAACACTTGATTTATGTTGGCACTTTGGCCCTAAAGAAACAAATGAGGAGACAGCTCTACATTTTTCTTGTTAAAGAGCAACCTCATAATCAGACTTTACAAGGGCCATCATGTATACCATGTTTGACGGTTTTATTTTTTTGAAATGGAGGCTATAATTGTGGTTTTTCAGCCCAATTAGGCTATGTCACTATTCTTTTTTTCTTTTGATAAGTTTAGCATTACTGTTTGAACATCGACACATTGAGATAAAATGCTTTTGTCTTTATGCAGAAGGAGGAAAAAGCTAAATATTTGCACAATAATTTATTATTTGCATGGCTTTGTCAGGCTGAAAAGATCTGATCACAATGCGATGAAACAATTAATCACAGCTACACTTGTACACTGGTGGGTGGCAAGTGAAAACTTTCACCTTTAATATTACAAAATGAAAAAAAAAAGCCAGGCAGCTTATGTGGCTCCAATGACTCAGCTGTTTGTTTGGGTGCATTGTAATGGATGTGTGCTCTAATCCGATGTGCAGTTACACAATCCAGAATTTGGTCAGATGCAATCGGATACGAAAGTAACATCAAACTTTTCGCCTTTGAATCTGTTTGATTTAGTTTGGCTTTCTACTGCAGATCTGAAAGTACTTCAAAGAAATGAATGTGACAGTTATCATCACACCCACAGCCCAACTCCCTTTGCCTGACATTGATCTGTTTGTAGCTGGGCATCTGTTTGACATGGCATATTGTCAATTAAGCTGACAGCTTGTCTACATTTGAATCAATGAAGAGAAATAATTGAAGAGATTCATTTTGTTGTTAACATATTAATGCTTTCTCCTCGCTACTCTTCAAATCAACTTCCTACGGAGTTTTACTTTCTACCCTGTTGTTCTATTAAACCAAACTCTGTCTTTGTTTCTAACAGCTCCTCAAAAGTTCTGTGTTCCTTTTAATTGTGGTGTTATGTGGTTTCGATAATCACTGCCACAATTTTGTTATTACTACGCCACCTCAAAATTGGTTGTATGATTTAGGTCATGAGCAGCAAACAATATAAACAACAATTTCCCAAGGACATATTTGTCACTGTCCCAGACCTTAATGGTTCTTTTCAAAAAAAAGTGCTATCCTGAAACTTTTATGAGGCACACTGGTTACTTTACAAGAATTTACCAGCTACTCTGAAGGAAGTTTAAAGATATTTTCCAGAACTCACTGTGTATTTTTCTGACAGTAATTACACGCTGCCCAACATTTTTAGATTTTCCAGAACTTAAAAGATATTTTCTGGTATTTACTTGCCACTTTTCTGGAAATTTCATGGAATGTACGAGTTACTTTCTATGCCAGGCAGTGGCAAAAGGTTTTTTGGGCAAAATATCACTTCCGTAAACCAAACTTCCAGTTAGACTGAGGCCTGGAAAAGATATTACAATTATCTATGAGGTCAAGCTAACGCCTAAAACAGGTTTCCGACCGAAAAACTTGAACAACACAACTTTCTGCTAGTAGAATGCCAAATTCTGGTTTCAGGATCACTTCATGGATATTCCAATACATTCATTATGTCGAGCTGGATTATTCAAATTGGTTTATTTAGATTTCTAAGCCTGAGGCATCACATCTATGCTTGAGTGCCCAGAGGCAGATTGCAACTATCACTTCTCTATCTGAACCTCAGACTTCCCTTTCTGGGTAATAAGCCCGCTATAATAATCAGCTACTAACAGGATTTTTTTTTCTGTTATCTAATCCAAATCAGCCCCAGATCTGTTTTTCCTCTGTAGTGCCTTGTTCCCTCACACTAATATTAGCTGTTCGTGAGCATGTGCTCAGATTACTGTTTGGCCTGTGGCACCTGAAGTGTTTTTGCTCTTCTTTCATCTTCATCTTTGACCTTGCCAGCTGAAGAGCTCTGATGAACTCCTCTTACATCCTTTGATAGACAACTGTGTCTTATTTGTAAACACACATTGTCCTTTTTATTCTCCGTATTTGTTCTTTAATAGAAATCTGTCTCTTACATGTTTTCAGAGAACCAGATCCCGCCCGGCTTCCCCACCATCGACATGGGGCCTCAACTGAAAGTGGTGGAAAAGACCCGGACCGCCACGATGCTGTGCGCCGCGGGTGGGAATCCGGACCCGGAGATCTCGTGGTACAAGGACATGCTCCCCGTAGACATCAACAGCAGCAACGGGCGCATCAAACAGCTCCGCTCAGGTGCAAATTTGTCTGATCTCACGGCTCAGCATGACTTATTGCAAACGTAAACAGAAGAAAGCCGAGCTGTAAGGTGCGAGATGTCACTGCATACCTGCAGACATCCTGTTAAGACATGAGGCCAATGAGAGAAAAACAAAAGGCCTTTGTTGTCACCCATGATTTCATTCATTGCTTTCATCAAGAAGGATAGAAAAGTTTTACTCGGCTTGTTGTTGTCACCTTGATTACTTTGCTGACTTCTTAGACTTTTATTCTTCACAACCACACAGTCCTCACTTACACAGTTACTGAAGTTGAAATGACACTGTCTCAGTGTTCCTGCAGTCTTTTGACAGTGACGCATGAACTTTTAAAACCTTTTGAAGTACGGCGCGAGAAAATTTCACCCTATTAAATAATCCTTAATCCCCTTTTAAACATGCAGCTGGGTCACAATGAGGCCAGCAGATGATGTATTAGCTAGGATTTCAACCTTAACCTAATGAGGTACTCTTTGTTCACACTAACAGTCTCACTTATATATATAAACAGCCTTATTTGACCCGGGTTTGATGGGAAGTGTGCGTGGTAGATAGATTAGTGGGTTTTGGAGGAGGTTCAGTCATTGACTCTCCTCTAAGCCTGGCCTTACTTTGTGTGGTTGTAAAAGCCCCACTGTATAAGAGGCAGGTTTTACTTTGTGAGGCTTCTGTAATGGAAGAGCAGCTTATGAAGTGTCAGACTCGACTGCAGGTCTGAGGAGCAAAAAGGTCAAAGATAATAGATACTTAAGGGGCATATATCATTATTTTCCCCCCACTTTTTTAGTTATGTTGAGACTTGCAGCTCAAGATGGTTATTTAAATGAGAAAGTTGAGGAAAAAAAAACACAAGGCAGCAGAGAAAGGAAAAAACAAACTAAAAGGTGGAGATGTTTAGTTTGAATGTTTGTATCGAGGCAGAACACAATATCTACCTTAACAGTAATGACAAAGTTTACCTCTCAGGTTTGAGAGAAAAATAAAGATTTACATCTAAAATAAGGATGAGAAATGTTTGAATAATTACCACCAAGATAATATACTTCATATAATCAAGGAAATGCAATTCTCACTTTTCTCCACGTAAATCCGTCTTTCGATTACAATAATTTTGAGGACGGCATTTGTAATATTATTCAGTCTCTGCTCCATCTACAACAAGTAAACAAGTCAGGTCAAGTTAATCCTGCACAGTTGAAGATGAATATAAAAATAATACAGGAAAATTTGATGACATAGCCACTTAAGGAAAAGCTGGAAATGTATTAGGGCATGTTATTGGCACTGTAAAAATCATAACATAGTAGAAGCTGCATACTAACTCAGCTACTTAATTGTTTGATATTTTTAGTGCAAGACTAAAATTGTGCAGAAAAAGAGGAAATACTTTTTTTTCCCTTTTCTCTTCCAGCAACAACTTTTAATTAGTTTTCTTTTCCACATACATTTGGACTGCCTGAAAATGTGCTGATATGCCATGCCCCCAGACTAACATTTCTTTTTATCCACCACCGTTTTCCTGACATCTGCTGCTGCATCAGGATTTACATTACTGAATATGACACAAAATGAGGCCAATTCTGCATTGGCAAAAAAAGAAGCACATTAATTTGTTGCCAGGGCTGAAGAGAAAAGGCAAATTTCTTCTTATTATTAACATTATTATTATTGTTAATATCACACTTGTTTGTTTTTTTTCCTTTTAAGGATAACTGATTCATGTTATGCTGTAAAGATACTAACTTTGTTTCTGTAAAAAGGTCGACATAAATACTTCTTCTTGTCCATTACCCTATTTACTTTGCCTTCTTTTCAGTAATTACCCATGTCCTTTTTACTAACAGCAAAAGAGAGTGAAGGCCATCTTCAATCAGAAACGATAATTAAAACATTTTCTGTGTGAATTTAAAGCTGCTGTGGAGTGAAGTAAGCGTGCTCAGGGCTGTTTCCTGCTTAAGCGAAATGGGGAATATTATATTTCAAGGGGTTCATCTGACAGAAGGGATCCTTCTCGAAGGCTTTGCTGTTTTTCTGTTGTACTCTCCAACATACCTGCTTTATTTTGTGGCATTGATTAAGTGTGTTGAGTTTTGTTAAATCACATTTAGGTGGCCTCTACTCTGTCATTTTCTTTATCTGTTGCTTTTCAGAAGACATGTTTTTTTTCTCCCGCTGTTGTAAGTGGATTACTAACTAATCTTTCAACCCTGTTTTCATCAAAATTACTCCCACATAGGTGGTACACCAATTAGAGGTAAGAATGACAAATGGTGTATTGGAAAAACATAACGTCCACGCCATACCCTCCCGCCCACATCTGCCCCCTGTTATACTCCCACCCCGCATCGTCACGTCGCCGGGTTCATCTTCACTGTCGGCGAATCAGCCCACCCTGTTTCCACTGTGTCCTGGTTGCCCCCAACATGTTCTGTCTGCTGTCTGATCCTTTACAAACAAATTATCACCAACCTTACCCTGCGAAGAGAGGTGCACCAAACCACTGTGCATGAGGGTGTGAAATCTCACTTTAACAAGGCAGCAGGTACAGAGCCTTAAAAGAGTTCTCACAGGCCTTGAATTTTTTTTTCACATTTTGTCAAATTATATCCACAAATTTCAGTGCATTTGAATGGGCTTTTATGTCGCAACTTAACAAAAAGTAGTGCATAATTTCAAAGTGGTTGGGAAACTTAAAATGTGGCTTTCAATTATAGTATCTACTCTGTTACCCCTAAATAAAATCTGGTCAGCTGTTCATCATGCTCTCAAAAAAAATAAATTTTGACAAGAGTGGTAAAAAGAAACTCCTGTAGGCTTTTTACCTACAGGAATGGTCAGATTAAATCAATTTTCTTTTCTTTTTTTCTTCTTTTTGTGGCTCACATGCAGTGGAAAGCTACCACTCTGAAACATGGTGGTGGCAGCATCATAATGTGGGGATTCTGGAATGCAGGGAATCCAATTAGAGTTGATGAAGATAAATGCAGGGCAGTCCTGAACAAAAATCAAAGGACGCAAAAGACTGGAGGAGGATGTTGCTAGAAGTCAAAACAACATATGGAGTGGTCCAGTCAAAGTCCAGTCTGGAATCTGTGGCATGAAATGAAAGCTGCTAGTTAGTCCTTACCTATATGTTGCTGACTATTTAGTAGCTATCTGACTTTTGGGGGCGAATGGCAACTCTGAATTTTATTTTAAACTGTCAGAGTAAAGATGGCAGAACACGGCAAAAAACACAAAATTGTACCAAGCATATTTTATCTAATTTCTAGAGCGAATATGTTAGTACACCTGAGCCAAATTCTGAATTACCTTTACAATTTGTTCAGGTGTGTTTGAGCAAAGATGCTAAGCGGTTTTACTGGAGGACTGGTGTTACAGACTCCTGGTCTATCAAATAAAATTCTAGTGAAATAACATTAGAAAATGTGAAAAGGATCCTTATGAACAGAAACTCTTTTCTGGGTTTTTAGATGAGGGAGCAAAGACTCTCAAAGGAGTCTTAGCTGCCTCATTAATGCAGCCTTAATGGGAGATTGTAGTGAGCAGATTTGCATAGAACCTTACCTGAGTTGCCCTCCTTGAATGGAAACAGGAGTTTAATTTTAAATTTTTATTTTTTTGGAAATCCTTTGTCATATTTCCACTTAAGAACGCTGAATTTAATGTTGAAAATCTGTAACAAGTTGAATAAAATTTCCAAATGTCCACCCTGCATATATCTGGTTGACATTAAAGCAGCTGATGCCTTTTAGGTAGAATTGGAACTACAAATATCCAAGCGGTTGGAAGCCGTTTTGCTCGTGTTGCATCTCAACAAAACGCAGAAACCTTCTACTTTTTTTTTTTTTTTTCCGGGCTCAAACTGCTTTCTCCTGCAGGAGAGCTGGCAGATTGACAGATTGGTGACACCGACATTAGTATGCAGGTTCATGTCAGCGCTGAACCAGACGACGATGAGCTCAGCAAGCCGAACAAACACCTCGGAGGGATGTGTTGTCATGAGATCTGAAGTCGCACACCCGACATGTCACCGCTCCGCCCCTGTTTTACTTCTGTTGTTTCGGTCTTGTCTTGCGTCGAATCCCCTATGGTTGGTGAACCTGTTTGTTACATTCATCTCATGTTGCATGATGTGAAAATGAATCGTATTCTGAGTTTTTTTTATTTGTCATATTACAAACTGCATGGTGGCTCGCCGCCTTTTGTGGGTGCACCATGCTGCTTTGGAGCTGTGATAACTTTTATCACCCCGCTGCATATATTCTTCTGAGAACCAGCTTTTCTCTGTTTTTTTATTCATTTACTTTTAACGGCGGTGCAGGTAAGTTCACTGCTGTTTCATCCGTCTTCCACTTGCAAGTCAATCGTAAATTATTAACTGTTGGCTGTTGATGGGGAGTGGGAAAAACCCTCCCCTGGACTCGTCTCCGGGGTTTTCATACTTTGTTTGAAGCAACATGTTGGCTTTCATTCAGATGCCTGCAACAACTTGGATTTGTGAATACAAATCAAAGTCATCTGGCAGAGGAAAGTCTCCCCTTGGTGAAACGTGGTCAATAATTTTCTCACTGTTAACTGAACTGGTAGTTGTTTCACTACCGGCTGCTTGGAGCTGAGAAACAAATCATTGCTTTAACCTGTTGCTCAGTGATTTTGTTGCCTGGCCAAAAAAGAAAAAAAAAAAAGAGTCAGATGTCTGATATATTGTTTCACCACTTGTAGCCTTGATCCTGCCTGTCTTTCACCATGGCCTCATTTCTACAAGCTTATGTCATACATTTACTCAGCGTTCCTTCAATTTCACACGGGAAAGTCTGGAAGAGCCGTCAGTTTTGTGTTTTTATGTCCAGATAAGAAGGAAAAGTAAATTATGTAATGGAAAATACTTTCAGATTTTATTCCATCAATCTCTCACTCTGTCCATCCATCCATCCATCCATCCATCCATCTAAATATCCATCTGTCCATCTATCATTTCATTCATCCATCCATCTATACATCCATCCATTTGCAGATAAAAATTTTTAAGTCCTTTTGAAGCACCTTCCAGAAAGCCATATATATATATATATATATATATATATATATATATATATATATATATATATATATATATATATATATATATATATTAGCTAGAAAATGTTGATTTCAGGTAAGATTAGCTGAAAAAGACCCAATAGTTCTGGGTTCTGGAGTCTGAAAAAGAATGAAACCTCGTTTACTTCCAACCCGAGTAGCATGACTGGTTTTGCTAGTATGTTGCGTCTGTGACAGAATCAAGCCACTGCGAAAAGTATCTCCTCCTGTACATACCAAAGACTCCCAATGGCATTATGGTCTGGACTGCTTTGTGACTATCCATGTGAGAAAGTGCTGCCTTGTGCATCATTTCATCCATCAGTCTTCTTATTCTGATGTGGGATGACAACAGGTCAGACAAGTCCACATTCACTTGGATTTTCCAGTGCTCTCTAGCTTTATACTTCCTAACAAATGAAAGCCCTTTTTTGCCTTCCCCCCCTTAAGCCGAGCTGATAAGTGCTTTTGCTAAGGCAACACAGCTGTTTGGTCCCAATACCCAAGGTTCTCATTATATTCAAAGCCTTCCACAGTTTCTTCCATTAATCATTTGGATATTTTTCCTTCCACATGTTTTCTGGAATATGTTTCACCACTAAATTCCCACGTTTGAACAAAGTGTTGGATAATGTCTTTAGACATTTTTAGTAGATTCATCAACCTCACGTGAAGCATTAGTTAATAGCACGTTGCCAACTGAAACATAGTGATCACTGCACTTCCTCATCGAGTTGTGATTACTTTTTTTGGGCAGGTTGTTACAAATCAGTAACATTTCTTCTTCAGGATTTAAGAGTATATTACCCATGCTAGGGATATTTAAAATGCATATTTATATCATAGCAACAACATCTCACACCGACAAATGAAGGCTGCGGTTCTCCGACAGTCAACATTTTGTTGACTAGAGGAACCATTGAAAATACAGGTTTAAGTTCAGCTTATCATGAAAAAAAGTAGGATTTTGCATTGAGGGACTGAACCAGAAAGGAATATAAATACTGGGATGAGAAACAGGTGAAAGCAGAGTGAGAAAAGTGAGGAAAATAACATAAAGCTAAACTATCACTACCCCACAGAAAGACTGAATATAACAAACCAATAAGGAATGAAACACTAAGAAGCATGAATGAAGGGAAAATAGTTAGCAACTTGAACACCTTGCACAGGAAATGAAGTCTATGAGGAGAAAAACTCAAGAGTGTAGCTTTAAATGGAAATGTTAAGTAAAGACTTTTCCAAATATGTTTATTTTATAGAAATTTCCAGTGACTGTGACCCCAAAGATGAAAAACATTTTTCACAAATTTAATGTACTAAAATTTGAAGGCTGGATCTTCAGTGTGAGATCATGTTACAGCAACAACATATTAACATCATTTAAGGATTTTTACTCATCTCCTTCCATTTGGGACCAATAAATGTACAAGGGTTGTGACATTTTTCTGACTGGTGTTGCTCAGGCAGTGATGGTTTTAACATGTTATTTAAACTAACCGTCAGACATGCTCTGCTTTCATTCATAACACAACTGAGCCAAATATTTAATCACCAGCTTTCCTTAAACTCACCAGAACATCTAATTGTTTGTGTCACATCACTGCAAAACCCCGTCCATCATGTTTGAGCGTGAGCTAGGTCAGTCTGACTGACCTAGCGCTCTCTATTGAATGATTCTGTTAAAATAAATGTGCATTGCTTCTGTCATCTGTCCAGAAGGCTAAACTTGATAATCCTCCACTTAGGAGCGCTGCAAATCGAGAACAGCGACGAGTCGGACCAGGGGAAATACGAATGTGTAGCCATGAACGACGCCGGCACCCGCTACTCTGCTCCTGCCAATCTCTACGTCAGAGGTAAAGTCTAACGTCTCTCACTTTCATTTATCGATGTCATTTCAGCTGTTTAAAATACTGCTCTGTGAAAAAGCATTCAAACTTCTTTACTTTTGGCTTTTTGTTGCACTTAAATGTTTCAGTTCAAAGATAACTTTGAGATAACTTTAATGAATAAAAGAATTCTTTGTTTTACCTGTGGAATCAAATTATTCAAATAGGGGAAATCTAAAAAAGATGAGACCTATTAATCCATTTTTCACTGAATCCATTAAGTCATTGTTAAGGCTTTGGGATGTTCTCTAACCACAGTGAGAAATATTATCCACAAATGGAGAAAGCACAGCCCCCAAGTCAGGGTTAGTGATCACAACCACCCACAGCTGGCTGAAAACCACAAATAGGCACACTTACATTTACCAATTGTATTAGTTTGAACAGCAAATATACCTTGATGTGCATCAAACTAAATATACAAAATAAGATATTACATGAATAGGGTTTCTACCAGCAGCATTAGAAGGAGCAGAGCATTTACTAGGCCTTTTATGGCATGATTAAAAAGGTCTTAAAAAGCACGTCTCCATGAGAGACAACCAGTAGCATGTCTAGTGCTGTTGTGCTAAAGTATTTCAGCTTCACAAGTGGTATTTTTTTGTCTGATTTTGAGATGCTCAGTGAAAAAATTAACAAGTAGGCTAATTGTCTTTGAATAATTTGGAGTTTCACAGAAGAATAGGTGAATACTGAACCACAAATACGTGGGGCCTGCTGTAAAAAGTGCATCACTGACTCATCCAGGAGGTCTCATGAACTCCAGGATACAAAATACATTAAGATCTGAAGCTCTGCAGGCTTCAAATGCTTCACCTGTTGTTCATGTTTCAACAAGGAAACTGAGGCGAAACCACTGCTTTACAAAAATAAAACAAAGCAAAAACATTTTGTCATAAACCAACAATAAAGCATGGTAGTAGTGTGTGGTGCATGAATTTTTGTAATTGATGGAATCATAAATTTTGCTCTCTACCAGAAAATCCTGAAGGAACGTTTCTGCCCATCCGTTTACAAGCTTTAGCTCAAGATAATTTGGGTTTTAAGGCAGGGAGAAGTTATCCAAAGGACACCTGTAAATCCAGCCCTGAAAGTCTTTAAAAGAAACCAACATGAAGGTTTTGCAGTGGCCTAGAGAAAGTCTGGACTTAAATTCAATTTGTGATTCTGTGGTATGACCTTAAGAAAGATGTTCGTGCTGCAAAACCCTCCATTGTGGCTGCATTAAATCTATTCTGCAAAAAAAGAAAAAAAGATGTTTAATGGTAGTTGTTACTGCCAAGAGTAACACAACCAGCTATTAGGTTTAGGGGCAATAACTTTTCCACACTGGACCAAGTTGGTTTGGATAGCTTCTTAAGAAAGTGCTTTTTTGGGTTTATCCAGGCTAATTTTGTCTGACGTTAAAATGAATGATGATCTGAAACATTTAAGTGACCAAAACAAAAGGGAACATAGAAGCAATCTGAAAGGAGGGCAAATGCTTTTTCTCAGAATTGTTCCCTGTGGGAAACATTTGGATTTCCTCTAACTGTTGTGCAGCTTCCAACATTTCCACCATTTTTTTTTCTGAGTCCATTTCTATGTTTGTCTCCGTCTTCACCACACTTTTCTCATTCCTTCTGTTCCAATGAACTGAGCTAACCTCAGCCTCCAGTTTGGCTGCAGTCTCAACCAGGTGCAGCCCCCGAGAAAACAGCTGCATTGAAATCGTTTCCTCCGCTGGCACCGACGCCAGGGCCTCCTTTCTTTTTTTTATATCGACTGTATCGAAAGGGGCCATTATTCCCCTCCGCACAAACCCGGAGCTTCTAAAGACGAGGACGGGGGTCTAGGGTTTCCCGAGTTTGTTTATGCTGTAACGTCTCCGTGAGCAGACTAATGCAGGCACAGGGTTGGGGCCATGCGGGAAAAAGCTTCTATAGGAGGGGAGTGAGTGGTTGAGGTCAGCCCCTGTGGATCACACCAGCATGGCTGATGTACATGAAACACAATAGCTGCTCCAGTTGTTAGTGTAAAAAAGTGTCACGGTAAGAAAGGGACACGCTTGGATATCATTTTATAATTTCGTTAAAAGCGTACAGAACTGGAGCATGCAGCCTGTTTTATGGATGACTAAGTCTTTTGTGTCTGTTTTTTTTTTTTTTTCATCAAGATAAAGTAAGTAAATTACCGCTTACTGTGTCCCATATATCCAGAAAAGAGAAAAAGAGAGCGAGGGAAATTATTTTTGTTGCATTTATTATCTCACATGAGCAGACAAGCAGTATAAATGTCTGGTCGAACACAAAACTTCCCTCTGAATCAAAGGTGAAATCCTGTTTCAAGGTTGGAGAAGGATCACATCTGTAGATTAAACATCACTTAAAAAGTTCACATCTTTCATGTCAACAGAGGTAGAAAGAAGTCAGGCAAACGGCGGAGCCGAGGAAGGGATGTAAGTCTCGACTATTAATCAGTACATGTCTGTCACAGGTGCAGACACCGGCTTTTTTTCCCCCTCAGAGGTAATTACAGTAGTTGTGTGGCGTGGCGCCAGCAGGGCCTGGGGGCCCTTCTGCTCCGTAACACCACCCAGGTAGCTGTCAACCCACTGGCCCTAATACCCGGCTTTTTTTTCGCCAGCCTCGCCACTCCACAGGAGAGATAGAAATCAAACCAAGCGTAACCTTTTAGACGTATTTTCGACTGGAATGGAGAACAAAAGGCTGCAGCCGTGTTTTCGCTCCGTCTTTGTTGCCGGCGGTGGGGAGACGAGACCCGGGGCTGCGCAATCACTCCGCTGCTAGATTGGGCGACTTAAGACGAGTGGCCTTTGACATGCCTGTCTTCTTCTGCTGCTGTTTTTGCTTGGGTGTTTTTTTTTGTTTGTTTGTTTGTTTGTTTTTATCACACTGAAAGTCATTAGCATTAATGCATTTAACATCTGTTAACATCTGTTTACTATATGTTTTTTCTCAAGGTCTTGCAAAAGTATTTATACCTCTTTATCTTTTTTTATTTTGTTTTGTTACATACAACCGCCAGCTTTAATGAACTCCACTGGGATTTTATGTGACCAACACAAAGGCAAACATGATTCTGAACTTTTCAAAAGAGTGTCATGCGTTTGCATTCATTCCCCTTTACTGTGATACCCCTAAATAAAGCACCTTCAGACTTCACCTGATTAGTAAACAGAGTCCAGTTGGGTGTGATTACAAGTAGCTTTACTATGGAGAGAACACACTCACTGTAAAACATGGTGTTGGCAGTATGATGCTGCGAGGAGGCTTTTCTTCAGCAGAGAAACTTGAAGAGAGAGTCACATACCTTTATTGGCTTTCAGCGAGGACTTTGACTAGACCATTTTAATACTTCATTCTGGACATGTCAGTTCTCCCATGAAACATGGTGGTGGTGGTATTATACTGTGGGAGCTGGAATGACTAAGATGGTTGTCCTGATAGATCAAACTTTAACCCTGTTTGCACATCTATCCTCACGACATGATGCTGCCACCACCATCGTTCCTTTGTAGTTGTGCCTGAGTATTAACAGTAGAGGTTTAGGAGAAATGTCGAGAACCATGAATTGGTTTCCTTTTAGCTCGCAACTTGGCTACGTTACTGTGTTGGTCTTTCTCGCTAAATCCTAAACATACGTTAAAGTTTGTGGTTGTACATTTAAAAATGTAAAAAGCTTGAAGAGTTTTTTGCAAGCCGCTGTGTTTCACATTAATTTTATTGCATGACTTCATCAACTAGACAGAAAACTTTGATGCTTAAATTAAACGTTTTATCTTTTTTTTATGTTTGTGTACAACAAAGTGGGGATTTTTCAAGGTGGCATGCAGCAAACCACAAGAGAAACTCAACCACACACAGACACATAAACACACACCTGTCAGACATGCTTTAAATGTTCTCGTTAGGGTGTTTCGTATCCCTGGATCTGATTTTTTTATTTTTATTTTTTCCCCTTCCTGCTCTGTCACCACCTGATCCAATTCTGTTCTAAGGGTACACAAACATGCCGCCTGCTCCACCGGCACCACCCTTGTCTTGACATTTTAGAGCCACCAGAGAGTGATGTCCTCAATTTAGCGTGTGGGAGGAGTAAGACTAAAGGAGACGACAATGGTGGGGGTTGTTTGAGGACGAAGAGTGCGCTCATCTATTGTTTTTCCCGTTGTGTTTGTATCAATTTACAGTATGTCCTTTTCCTCGTTACCCATTAAGAACTGTGACCGTGTTTGAAGGCTTGCAGCTGTGGGTCGCTCTCTGTGACCCTCCTCTAAAAAGGGAGGACTCCATCAACGTGGGCTGAAGCACACGGCGCGCTGTGATCGTGCTTGAGCGCTCATTTGTCAAGCGTTTATCCCACAACGGAGGAGGGATGTCAGCTTCTGTCTGCTGGCACTCTTTCATATATCCATGTGACATGTCAATATGTCACCAAGGATAAAGTACTGGAGCTGGTTTTTTTTTTTTTTTCTCTTCACCAAAATATCTCCATGCTTTTTTATGTGTGTGTGTATGTGTATGTGTGTGTCACAGAGGGAAACTTGGAATGTGATCAATTCAGGTCAGATTTATGAGAGGGGGGGAGAAGAACAGGAGCATATTTAGTAACACTGACATCAGCATATGCTCATAAAGAAAAAAAGTACAAATTCATTGTGAATTATAAGAAGATTGCACTTTGCAGGGAGAATTTTTGATAAGTTTGATTAAAGACATCTGAATGTATTATTTTAAATCCCAATTTAGCTAAGAAATCTGGGTTTACCAAAATGATTGTTTTTCTCCTTGATTCTGGATTTAACCCCTTCATTTATTCTCATTTTGTGATGTTACAACCACAAACATCAGTGAGTTTTATAGAGATTTTAACTAACAAAGCTTCACAAAATAATGCATAGCATGTGGAAGGTTAATAAAACAGGGGTTTTGACAAGTAAAAATGTAAAAAGTCTTTACTCTGAT